CCGACGCGTCTTCGGCTCAGAGTCTGCTGGCCATAAAGTGTTGGCGCCATTCGACGGAAGTATCTAAAATCAACAGAGATGCCTACCAAATCAGCTGGAACATAACACATAATGCCATGGCCCCAGCGAAAATCTGGAAGTGGCTCTTAGCGCAGCCCATTTCTTGGCAGGTCGGTTATAAAGCTATTTTGGTGGAAGAGTGATTTTACGGTCGAGGGTTTATAGTTTTGACATGAGTATATTCTCGAAAATGTTCGTACTTCCTTTCGATCAAAAAAATTAAATTTCTTGAAGCAAATAACTTTATCAAATAAGTGATAATCCGCTCTCTACAAGGAACCTCTTATCAAATTATATCATTTAGCAAGTGATATTGTGGAGGTTCCTCTTTAATTTTTTCCGAATCGTGCCGCATCACTGAGGAAGAGACAGGTCCTTTAATCAGGGCACAAATCAAGTGCTGGTAGACATAGGCGGAAATCTAAATTTGGCACTTGGCATTTGGCATTGTTGCTCACGACGTGCGACGCGGACTGCCTGGGGAGCTGGAAATCTCGTTGCCGCCAAGGCTGTCAGACTCGATCCAAGTTCCAGTAGCCCCCATAGTCCGTGTCCTGCCATAAGAGACAATTTATTTGGCTCTGCTTAAAGCTCGGTCTGGCGAGGTCGCTCCTGGCCAGTGGCATTTATTATTTTTCTTAATTAAACCTTAATTTTTCTTGCTGGCGCGTGTGTGCGGACATCGGGCGCTTAAAATAAATGCAGGACTGACGAATGCCGCCGACCGCCGGGCTTAATGATGATACAGGAGTGGAATAAAAAGCTTACTGCACATCCTGCAGCGTGCGACAATAATAAAATTGCATACCTGTTAAAGCCGCCTGTCTGGCCAAAGTCCCCGCCTCAACCCTTGACCTCCAGCGTTACATTGAAACTCATTTAAGTAGAGCCCGGATGGGGGCTGCGAATGCCACTAATTAAGCCTAATGGCGCATGAAACATGCATTAAAACTAATGTGCAAGCCTCGTCGCCACCGTCAGTAACGTGGCGGAGGGATGGAGGGGTGGCGATATGGAGATGGCCTTGCCATTTGTGTCGCACTGAGGCAAGAGTTGCCCTTGTTGTTCACCCCCTTTAACGATGGCAGCCTAATTTTATGCTACGCAATATTTTGTTGTTGAAGTGGTGGAGAAAGCAGGCCTGGCCCCCTGGTAATAGGTGGAGCGAAGGCTTCCCATTACGATAAATTTCGGAATAAAGTTCCGCGAAACTAATTCCCATTTCGATAATTTAGCATTGCATTTGCTGCTTCAAGGAAGCAAGCTGTTTTCAGCGTGTACATACATTTCCTGCTAAAAAGAAGAGTGCTACATATCGTTGTTGAACTTTTGTTGAGAAACTAATTATACTGATTTGTAGTGCAAAGTTGAACGAAACCAGTTTTGAATTAAATTATTTTCATAAACTTTTATTGGTTTATCAGGTTAAGTATGTTAGTTGTTCTGTTTTGTTGTTGAATTATTGTTATATATATCATCTAATAAAAGAGACCTCTTGATAAATCTCTTGCACTTAATGCAATAAACTTGACTCCAGTTTTCAAGTACATCTGCAGTTTTGAAGAGCCGCCTGATTTGCCGCCACTGGTACTCCCCCCATCCCACGATACAAGATATTCGCTGTCAAGCAACCACTAATGAAACATTATGGCTGTCGTAACCCGGTCGACGAGCCAGACAGCTAGGCCACAAATCCACTAAAAACGTTTACGGCTTACGTGCAACATGGGCCGTGGTCCGAGCCATAAGTGGCACGTAGCAGCCCCGTCAAAAGCCACAAAAGTGTCCTCTCAAATTGCCCCGCTGCAACACGTTTCCAGTAGCTGCAATTGATTTTTCCTCCCAAATAGGCAACCCGAGTTTTCCTTTAATATAATCAACAATTCATATTTTACGATTGTAGATTTGGCTGGGTGGCGTTTTGTCGCTTCATTGAAGCAATAAATTTAAAACTTTTGCCAAATGCCACGGTAGCTATACGAAAAACACATGAAAATTATATATATGCCATACTGGCACTCCTATGCATCCGTTGTGACTGTATGCGTAGCACTTTGCGGAGCGGGCACTCGGCCTTCAACAGGAAGTGACTTACGCACGGCTGCATCAGGCCGGAAGTCGGGCTGCGAGCGAGATAGACACAATAAAATGTTGGGGGAAAATATTCCATTCCCTCCGCACACGAATGAATGTCAACATGTTGATAACCAAATACATGAAACCAACTTGCAGAGAAAGCAAAAAAGAAACTTTTTCGTGCTCTCAAAACAGAAAGGAAAAATATAAAATATGAGGAAGTGAATTTTCCACACACACATCCACAGAACTCGTCTGAAGGTTGCATATTAAATTTAATTTAAACTATTACTCCATAAAATATTTATTTCAGCAGATATTTTAAATTCACAAGGTATCCAAAAAAGAGCAAATCACTTGGAAAATAATACAAAAAGTACGCATAACGTATAATCCTTTAAACCGCAGAAATATTTGCATTTTATTTGGTTTATTCAACAGCCAAACTTATGTTGTGCTAAAAGCTAAATGGAAATCGAAATCAAACTAATATTTTTATTTAGCTGTTGTATTTTATGGAGTTCCGGTATATATTTATTTCGCATTTGATGGGGTGTCGGTATAAATTTATAAAGATTAAATTTAAACTATGAAATATTATTGGCAGCGCAGGTATTTAAAAGCAGAAGATATATCTGCAAGCTATATAAATATATACAAATAATTAGAAATATAATAATAAATAGAAATAATGAGAAATTCTTTTGTATTCCAATCAATCATCACAAAAACCTCTCCTTGTTTGTCTGAAAGAAGAACTTATGCTTGAGTTGGAAAGAAATAAAAACGGAATTCGAACTATTTTCTCAAAAGTAAAAACCGTAACGGGCCAATTATTTATAAGCCACTCTTTTTGTCCTTCCATGGGGTTCTGGCATGCCCTAATGGACGCGCACATGGTCGTCAGATGATACTCGTTAGTCAACTCCCCGAACCCCGCTGTGCCATACCGCAATTGTGTGCGCCCGCAAATATGCAATGCGTTTTGCTTTATTTCGCTGTAAGGAATTTTTCAATGCTACATTGTTCGGCGAAAAAATGAAAATCATTTTTATGAAAACAATAAAATCTGCGCTTGGCTGCGCAAGCATGCCGCAAACCGAACAAAAATAACACCGACCAGAACAAAACAAAAAACTTCTCCAAACAATTTGGCTACGTAAGAATTAATGAAATTTATGTTGGCTGCAAACATTTCCATTGTTCCCAGAAGTGACGTTTAGGGCGAGGATCCTGTTTCCTAGAGCATATACTTTTTAATTTATAGTTTCGTCCGTCGCTTTAGGTGAAAGCCAAGCAAAAACCCCACAATGCCCGAAAGTTTATGCATTGTAATGCGCTCCAAGGCAGAGTGCACAGTGAATGCTCCCTAAAGATGACTCAGGCGAATGATAAACACCCTTCCTGCCCACTCCGTCCCTCTCGGGGCTATTGTAGATTATTTGTGTGTCATTGGCTATTTAAGCCAAAGCTTCTCTAGGGGGGCAAGAACAAGTTCCAGTGTTCCGCAAAAGGCAGCAGCAAGTGCATGGCTGTGGAAAGTGTTTTGTGGTCTTATTTGGGTGTCATTTGTCTTCCTCAGGGCATGGGGCTATATAGCTGACATTTAGGGTAATTATGGTATATATATGTAGAAAATGGCTTTGTTAGACTTTGGATTATGGGGATAACATGAGCTTGATCCCCTTGGGACTCTACAAGTTGTTGAGTCATAGTTGGGGCAGCCGGTAAAGGCAGTCTGAAGAAACATGGGTATTCAATGTCATTCATGTTTGACTGTTAATGGGTATTAATTTGATCGATAATGTATCGATATTTTACGTCAGATTCTCTCTCGATTATTGTTCTTATACTACTCGAAATCATTTTATTTAAGTTCGACTCGAAATATCCTAATCTCTAAATCTTGTTGTGCTTGCAAATTATCACATAATAACTATTTATTCACAAATCCCTTCCTTTTAACCCCTCTTAACTCCTTAACTTTATTAGTACTCTATTTTCCCATTTTTATCTCTATTAAAATTAATCTTTTCTACCATGAATCAATGAACCGTGCCAATAATCAAACTATCCACCCGTCTGTGAACTTTTATCCATATGCCCTTTAGCCATCGTTTACTGTGCATGCATTTTGCATAATAAGCTGCTTAGAAGGCGCACCAAGAAAAAAGCGAGCGGGGCAAAGAAAAACTTGCCATAACTTAAATTGAAAATGTAATGCTATTAACACTCTCTACTCAGCCGCCGTGACCCGCATCCGCCCGCGCCCAGAACTAAATTTGCATATTACAACACAGCCATGTTTAAAGTGTTAAGTCCACGCCTCATCCTCCCTCCGTCGCATGCAACATTCTGCATAATAAACAGATTAGTTTTTTAGGACTCACCTGCATGTCGCACACAACCACCTACAGCAGCAAGAGCGAGTACAAAGGCGCTGCCATGTTTCCAGTACATGTAATTAGAAAGCTACATTGCCTGCTTTTGGGCAGTGGCCTTTGTTTATGCAAATATTTAAACACTAGACTACTTAACCCACATACAAATGCCAGCGAATCCCAACACAAAGCATAGAGACAAAGAAGGCAGCAGCAGCAAATATGTGTCTTGCTGCATAAGCACCCACACAACACCACACCAGCACACACATGCACACTCTTGAGCACTAACAAGGCTAAAAGCACAACACACGAAATTGGCACTAACAACAGCACACACAAACAGATGATGCACAGCCACTAACTAGCGATGAACAAGAAGAATGAGGAGGGAAAATGTTTAAGCAAAAACTGCATTTTAAAATATTGTGTGTGTTTTCTCTTTCCCTTTCCACACCAACACACCACTCCATTCCAATTTAGCGCTTGGCCTAAAAGTATGCAGCATCATTAGTGTCAGAGCGAAGGGCTCGCCAAAACTACACCAACGCTACAACAACAACGGGGAAAACAAAGGAAAAACTGAGGAAAAACTGAGCTGCACCCGGCAAAATTGAAAATGTATGCTCATTAGTAATGGCAGATGCGACGAGCGGCAAAAACTAACTGAAAAGCGCATTGCAAGGACCGAACCGACAGCGACAAGTTCCTAAGTCAAACGCCATTCATAATTAGCAACAATAACAACAAGGACGCTGGAACATCTGGCAAAAGTCAAGGACGAGTTGTAAAATAATTCGCGAAAGCATGGCCCAAAGAAGCAACTCCAGTTATCTCGAGCCCCACCAGAAGAAGCCAGAGTCCTTCTCAGCGAGCTGATTTCGAGAGCCCGACAAATTAGCAGAGCGCACAAATTATCGCCGGGGAAATTGATAGATTCGATTAGCAATATAAAAAGCTCAGAGCCAGCGAGGACGGAGATAGCAGCCGGCGGCTCCTTTAATTTGTCACAACCACCAAAGCACGAACCATCCCATCGGACTTCCGCCAAATCCATCGCTTTAAGCCAACAAATATCGAGTCATGCCTGAGCAGGATAATTACGATGATGAGGTAATTTCTTTTGTTATACTTTGCGCACAAAGCCAACCACCGGCGAAGTAAAATAAAGCACAGAACTGGGTCCCAAAAAAAAAAAAGAGAATATGTTTTCAGCCCAAATATAATTAGGCATAATTAATTTTAAAAACAAATATTGCACGCTACGTGTGTGCGCGTGAGGGGTCCCTGAGTTCCGTTCCCGAGTTCCGGTTCCTTCTTCGGGGCATTTTGCTGGGCTTAGTCGAGCGTTTTTGAAGGCAACCCGAACTTGGCATTGGGATTACAATTTTAAATTGCCTAATGACTGGGAAAATTGAAATTCGCCCCAAGAATACATTAGGAATAGCTAGCTTTCAAAATGTTCTAGCTGACGTAAGCGGTACATGGGGTTATTGTTGAATAACATAATTATAATGCAAAAAGTATGGTTTTTCCTGATATTTTTGTTTAATAGCTAACAAAAACTCTTTGAACTATAACTTTATTGTATTATTTTTAACAAATTGAATTTAAATATTAAATTCATATGCTTACATTGAAAAAAAAAGGTCAATTAGTAAGCCAATTAAACAAGTCACTTTATGCAGGCACTTTTTATTGCGTGCTTTTTTTAGATAATTATATTTTATACTGTGATTTGATTTGTATTCAAAGCGATAAATGTAAAAAAAAAGCTAATTAACTGTTTGATTTTATGGTTAATGAAGAACTGAGGAAAAATATGCTTAATATATAAATATTAAACAAATAAATGTGTTCATAGAATAGAAAATTAAAGGATATATCTTGTTTATTATACTTTATTATTAGCTTGCTTCTATTTAGTGTAATATATAAACTTTCTTTTTATCAATGTAGTCCACTTATATCATGGGAATTATGTTGAGAAACAGGAAATAAAGTTTGAATATTGAACGACAGCTGCTGGGTGACACACCGGGGAAATCCCCTTATTGGCCAGCTCAATCTCTTCCGCAATCGTACTTATTATTAGCTCCACTTGGCCAACGAGCTGACTAAGCTCTTACATCGCCACTTCAGCCGCGACTCACTTTGATTTCAACTTTGAGAAGTACCTCGAGGAGGCGGAAAACTTCACTCGACGACCTAGGGAGGCTGGCAACTTGAGCTTCTTTGCGCCACTTGCCTCTCCCATCGTCTTTCGTCCTTCGTATTTCCTTCTCTTCCCGCCAATGGTCCGTGTTGGTCAGCTTTTCCCGCTTGGCTGCATTCTTGGCGGCGCCATGGAATCAGCTTTGCGGCTGCGATGCTAATTGAAATAAATTCCGCCTGCTATCCCCACGAAAAGCGCTGACAGCAGCGACTACAATTGTAAAATTGAATTAGCCATGGCGACTACGTATGTGATTTGCATACTAAGTTGTCTGGGAGAGAGGATGATTTGGCAGGACGAGTGGAAGGGTCCAACGCTTGCGCAAGATAAACAGCCGTCGAAATGCCAATCAGCCGTTCGAGCGGAAATCAATTAGCCGGCATTTTCACTTCGATTTCTACCCTCTCCTACGAACCAGTGAAGGGATCGGTGGGTTTTGACCACCGGTCAGGGATGCAATCGAGTTTAGCAGTGCATCCAATCTATTTTAACTGTTGTGATAGCGCTAATGATGGCTGACAGGTGTTATTGTGCGCGACAGGTACACACGGTAAATGTTTGTAACCTGTCTGTGTCATAATGCAGTTTGGATACGAGTACTTTCATAAATTTTGGATTAGCAGCAGGTCAACACTCAAGGCTTCATAAACTATAAAACTATGAAGAGATTAAGATATATTTTAGTTTAGTAGGAACTATACAAACCTCACTAGACTTTCAAAGGAATAACCATAACCAAAACCTTTCTATATTACACTATTTTATACAGAAAATCTAAAAACTACAAATTCTTTTTTTTAATCTGCACAATAACTAAATAATCACTTTAATTTTATTCAAGAATAAACTCTCTTAGTGCCTTAAGACTCTTATACAAGGTAGCTGCAACTTTGTACTGAGCCAACAAAGTTTGCGAGCATTCTAAGGTATTTACTCAACCATTAAGTCATAAAAACAGAAACTTCCCAGGGATTTCTTGCAAAATAATCGCTCCTAAACTACCCAACCAAAGTCAGACGCTGCACATCGCGTTCAATTGTGTCAGCGCTGGCATATTACATTTTATTTTGACAAATTCAGGTGACTTAACGACCCCCGACAGACGCCACACCTGCAGGAACAGGATGATCGAGGACAGGAGCGGGAACTGAAGCAGGTTGGAGAGGGGGGAAAGGACAGAAAAATAAGCAATCATGGCCGTGTAATGGAAGCTCAAGTGTGTGTTGACATAGAGGCAACCCCGCACACACATACACCTGACTGCAGAAGTACAAGTACACACACAACACACCCACAGACACACGTGACAGTTATAGCAAATGCTGTGCCGTTATGGCCTTGAGCTAAACTGCTGTTGACAACGGCACCCCATGCCAAGGGGACAGGTGAGCCAGGCGGCACGGAGGGGAGGCGCACTCACAGGTAGACAATGGGGCGGCCTGCCGGAAAGCCAGGTACAGGCAACCGTACACGGCAGAATCTATTGCACCAAGCGAGCAAGGATGCACTACACAGAGAAAAAAGAGTTATGGATATCCTATTTTAAATTTCTTCTATATCGAAACTGTCATGGCTTAGATTTGTTTCTGTTCTCCCATCACAATTTATAAAGAGAATTTCATTACCCCATTTTAAGCTTGTCATTTGGTTTAATCTTCGTTGTTGGTCCTTGATTTTCCCTGTGTATGTATGTTGCATCCTTTTCGCAATCGCAATCGCCTTGCCAACGAGCGACTGAAAGACTGTTTATGGATTTCGTGTTTGACAGGAAGGCAGCAGGCCATAAAGATTGCCTACTAATGTCGCCCGCCCAACGGGAAAGGCAATATTGCCCCAATGGAAGGTGTCTCCCCATATTCACAAAAAAAAAAAGCAAAGAAAACGAATCCACTGGTAAATGCAATAAGTCAGCTTTCATTGGCTCAGAAGTTTTCCTTTGACTTTGACAGAAAAGCAAAAATGGCTTCAGGAATATCAGTGAAATTTAGTTCAGCTTTTAGCTTCAATATTTTTCAAAGGTAAGAGGTCAGCTCAAAGATACCTAAATATTTTTAGGAAAATTCACAGACTTCACAGAGAAATTATAATTGAAATTCACAAATGAAACTAGATAATTTTCTTGACTTTTGTGTATATATCCATTGCTCTGGCTTACGGTCTCATTTGAGCTTTCCCTCCTGCCATCAACATCATTTCCAGATTAAGCCACAAGGACCTCGATATTATTTTTAGTTTAATCTCAAGAAGAAAATTTCGTAAAACCAAAACTGAAGACCCTGCTCATAGATGACCTTCTTTGTGTGCGCCAAACAGCTGTCTTTTAATGCGATTAACTGGGCCAGCTCTATCGCAGCAGAGCCAACTGGCAAGTTAATTGAAAACGACACTTTCACTGCCAGCGGGGCTTAGACCCCGTTCTCGTTCCCAACCCAGTTACCCCCTTTCCTTCGACAAATACTACGACTGGCATCTATTTTTAATGCGCTTAAGAGTATGCAGCAAAGAATTTTAACGCTCAGAGCTTAATAACTATGACAACTTATGCAAATAACCGGCAGCTCCCCACCGCTTAACCCCTTGCAGCCGGCTCTTTCAACTTTCTGCACTCGAGAAGCGGCCAAAGTTTACCCAGCTCAGCTCGACGAGCTCAACCGCAAAAGGCAGCTAATGCTCTTCCCGGGACTGGGAGTGGAGGTGTATGTGGGTGCCATGTGCTATGGGTTTTCCATCCGCATTATCTCTGGCCCCTGGCCAGCTCAGTGGAGGTGAGAGTGTGAGCGAGATTGAAAGTGTGGTAGGAACTTAATTTGGTTATTCCAAACTCGGTCGGGTTGAAATTTCCAGCAACACCCATTCGGCTCAAACTTAAACTCTGAGCAATTCCTGAAAAAGAATACTCTAGCAGCCACGCCTGGCTTTTGCTGCGGTTTAAATCTCAGGTAACCGAGAATTTAATAAAGTCCGTTTGTACCGGTATTTCCCAGCGGGAACAACGTAGCAGCTCCCTGTTTGCCAGGACAATGAAAATGGAATGATAACATTGTTGATCCAAAGTCCCAAGATATTCAAGAGTCAGCAGAAATAAAGAGCAAACAATAATATGGGGAAATCCTGTGAGCAAACATCATTAAGCGGTGGGAAAAGCGGTTTCCCATTCTATCAATCTTTTAGCTCTTTCACGTTTTTTGTTTCCGCCTGCACTTAAATCGCTATCCATTTCCATTACGATTTCCTCTTGTGCATTTCATTTTCACATGTCGAGTGGCGTATTGCGTGCAATTTTGGTTACAATATTCCTGGCCAGAAAAGGGGCCATTAAACGAACGGCCTTCGGTTTGTTTATGGAAGCCCTGGGAATCTGAAATCTCTGGGAATCGAAAAAAAAAATTGGTTGGTTGCAAACCGGAAAGCTGACTTATTTATGGCCCTCTCATTTATTTGTTTTATAATTGTCCTTATATTTTATTCAAAAGGCTTAAAGCCTTATCTCAACAATTTTCAAAGTTCAATGTAAACAAATAAATTATGGTATCTCAACCTTGGCAAATTTACAGCTTGCTATTTATTATTTATTGTCCTCAAATATTTTATTCAAGCAAATAAACAGAACAAATCTATTGATGCTTTAAGGCGATTTGTTACGAAACTAAAGCCTTTAAACAATTTTCAAATGGCAAAAAGCCTGCTTACATTTAAAAGCCAGCCACATTTGTTGCCAAAAATGCTCGTGATAGACCCGCATTTAAAGCCAACTAATTTCTTCCGGCTCAGTCTAGGACTTAAAAATATTTCCGGCCTCTGCCAGACTCTGCCTAATAGCTGGGCATTAAAAATTTATTGAAATTAATAGCAGGCGCTGCTCATGTGCTCTGTTCATTTGGGGATCCTTCAAATTCGTCCATTAACCAAAGACGTCAGAAGTAAACTCATTGAGGCTAAGGGCGGCCTCTGCCCAAATTGATGACTGTCATTATTTTTAATTCCTTTAGCGTTAACAGCAACTCATCAAGTTGAGTGTTTAAATTTCATTTATGCTCGTATTTTTGCATATTTACTCGAGCTTGTGTGTGAGTTCAACATATTTACAATCAAGTTGAGTGTTTCGAGCTCTCTTCTTCTTATGTAAGTGTCCTAAGGACTCTACGTCTTGACCCTCCCGACGCAAAATAAATTCAATTCAATTAAGACAAATGAAGTATACGCCGCGTGTGCCCGCAAGAGATTCCCATTATGATTATGATGGCTTTCGCGAAAATATTTTCATGCAGCCAAGCGGTGAAATAAAGTTACCCAAAAGTTCTCCTGGCTCGGGGTCTCTATTGTTGTTTGATAGTTTAGTTTACGCAGTTTTCAGGTTATTTGCGGCACAACTCCGCTGCAAGTAATAAATACTACATACACTCGGAGGGTTAAGCCGAGGAACCCTTATAAATAAACATGCTGGCGAAGGATGCGTGTGTGCCTCCGGAACACGTGTTCTCTCGCAATTTGTCCCCATTTGTATGTGAGCCGTGTTATTAATTAAGAATCGCGCTTCGCCAACGTGCACTAATGGCCAAAAGGGAAGCTCTGCGGGTTGAGCATATTTATGCGATTTTAATTGAGCGATTTCTACCTCTCCCCCTCCCTTGTTTAGTGTCTGTAATGGTAAGCAATGTTGGGGGAAAATCGATTAGTTTTTGGTATTTGTCTTATGCTGTTTAAGGGTTGGTAATCCGGAAGGAATTTTCTCATTTTTTATGAGGCAAATACAACAAAATGTGCCTGTTGGCAATGGATTTTAGTAAATAATAATAATAAAAGTGTCAAAAAGTACTTTATTTCGTTAAAAATTTAAATAATAATCTCTCCAACGGAAGTTATTTAATGGCACATCTTAAATGATAACAAAATATGTAACAATGTCCCCGCAAATTAATTTGATAAGCCCCAAACATTCCGGTACGCAACTCTTGATTAATACATTGCCATTTTTCTATTATCTGGCAGAAGAGTCCCGTTTTACGAGCCTTTAATTAATTATACGGCTAAGCGGCATTGTATGTGTGTGACATGATGGACTGACTAGGACGAAATCGGGCACCGACCCAAGGCATAAGCTCCGGCCCCTCGTAAAAATCGGTATCAACTTGTGCGGGCTGCGTGAGTTTAGTTTTCTGTCGTGTTTAATTCGAGCCTCTGCTTCTGTTTCCCTTTGTTCGGCTCGGCTACATTAAATATGCATTAAGCCTTGATTTCCGAGGGATGGGGCAGGTCCTTGTTCTTCCTTCGTATGTGTGGGTAGACATAAATTAGTAAGAGGAACGCTTATGAGGTTCAACGGCCGGCACACAGAGCGAGCGATAACTGAATCATCAGTTTACTAATTGCATCTTGGCCGGCCGACCAATTATTGGCCAGTTTATTATGGCCAGCCTTCATAACTCCGAGACTAATGAGCCGCACGTGCGCTTTATGTGCAGCATTTGCATTCCATCATATCTCAATTAATTTTCCTAATGTTTCTGTGTTCCCTCTGATTACTTTTCTTCTTATTCCGCACAGTTGGTCTCCAGCAATCCGAACCAGCGGAACTGGCGTGGGATCCTCATCGCGCTCCTGGTCATCATAATCGTCCTGGCCCTGATTGTTACATCGGTGGTGAGTTTCTATCTAGTAAATAATACAGCATGATATGTTTTGTCCTTGCGTCCATTGCGGTGTAATCAGGGTCCGATTGCCGAAATCGGTGTCACAAATGAATTTATTTAGAGCCCCATGTAGGCAGCCCCTCCAAGCACCCGGCCAGAAATCCCGAAATGTATTCTACAAATGCACAATGCAATTACATTTATTCAGCAACCAGAAAACCCGAAAACAATAATACAAATTCTGTCAAAACAAAAGCACACTTCCCTTTACACAAACACTGAAAATCCTATGTAAATACAAGTGGAAAATAACACAATTGCAGAAAGTCAAGGGATTTAAATACTCTTTTTAAAAAGACTTAAATACTTGGAGAGTTAAGCCATTTATGAATTTAACTTGAGTTGTTACTATATATTTGTAAATATTTAAAATATAGGTATTTATTGAAAATATAATAATCCAAATTTAAAGCCTCTTAGTAAGGGTATAATAGATTTGTCCTACCCACATTTCCTAGCTTCTGTAAAATTACACACCGCAATGCGAATTTCATTGGCCCGCAGAGCTGACATGTTTTGAAATACGTAAAATGTTATTCTGTTCGAAATCACCACAGAAATAAAAACAAATCCACACGTGTAATTGGATGGTAAAAGTTTTCTTTTTTAATTGGCCTAACTGTGCAGTTTTTAGCCCGCTTCAGGGGCCCGTCCCATAAATATTTTCACATCAATCTATGGCAAAACAAAAAGGAAACTCGAACTTCCATTAATATTTATGTGTATATATGTCTTTACCTACCTATATGATATATATAAAAAAAAAAAAGAAAACAAGAAAATGTGATAAATTTTTTGTGTAAATACGTTACGCTCATTTTTGTCTTTTGTCTGTTTGTTTACTTCTTTTGCGAATTTGTGGCTGCCTGATAAATTTAACCCCACACCACCGAACATTTTCCTTTCCCTTCGTTGTTGCTGTTGGTGTTTTGTGTGTGTTGTTCACGTGTGCCTGACTGCCTGCCTGCCTGTCTGTCTGTGTGAGTGTGCAGAAGACAACATATAAAATTTCTAAATTTATCAAAAAAGGTGCTGCTCACGCCGCCCGATGAGGGACCGCGGGTCAAGGGTCAGCGCATCAAGCTGCAGGACATCGTCGATGGCCTCTTCACGCCGCAGCACGCCAACGGCAGTTGGATCGATGGTGAGTCCTTCGTCCTTCATGCTCCACGAGTGTCATTCTATAGCTTGCCATTCTACCGGGCAAATCGCTTTTAATTTCCGCCCTGTTTTTTCGTGTCTCCCGGTCTCAATTCATCTCATCTTTTCGCAGGCGAGGAGTTCCTGTACCAGGACCATTTGGGTCGCATCTGTCTGCTGAATGCAGCCAATCGCTCGGAACGTGTCCTCATGTCCAATGTGACATTTGTAAGTACATTTCGTCCACCATGCGACCCCCTTCGCTCTGGCCACCCGCTGTTTGTTTGCTTATTGCTTATCTCTCTGAGCAGAATAAATATTTGCCCCATCTTATTTACGAGCTGGGGGAGTTGTCGGGAGACCTAGATATAGTTGGACGGGCTAGGTGCACTCAGAAAAAAAACTTAAAGATTTAAAGAATAATTAATATCGTTTGATTTTGGGATCTAAAACACACTTCAAGGAAAAGATAACCTCTGTTTTGATTCTATAGTTTGGTTTACTCCCAAACAATTTAGTTTTTTTTTTAGCCTCCTTTTTTCCAAGTGTTGTGCGAATGGGAGAGGTGGGTGTGCCGCAAGGCAGATATCTCAAGTGTACACACTCGACTTGGCAATGTTAACTGATATTATGGTGCGCACAAAAGTAGGCGAAACAAATGGGCCAAGTTATCGTTAACTGAGTGCGGGCGGGAACGACTTTTGCCCCAATCCAGCGATAGCGATAAAAGGCAAAAAGATTTTTATGTCAATGACTGGGGTAAACACACATGTGAAAAGGCCGGGGAAAGAGCAGGGAGGTGGGGTGCTCTCTAATGAATAATGCGCGCGGCTGAAATTGAAAAACAAACAAATAAAGAAATGCGAAGGAAAGGCAGCTGAATGAACTACCGCCGCTCGGCTGGAGAAGGGGAAAGAGCAAAAGGAGCTTTCCTTTGCCAAGTTGGAAACTTGGCTGGCGAAATTTCGAGTGCCTCGGGGAGCCAAGCAATGCAGACAGCAACAAGTGCACAGCCACTGCAAGTCAACAGTTGCCAGCTGAGTGGGAAATAATTAATGTGCAGCCAAATCCAAGGCAGCACGAGTGAGCAGTCAAAAGTACGTAATGGCAATGCATATTCATGCCCAGTTAAGAATCTGGTGTAAAGTTATTCCTTACACAAACTCAAACAAGAAATGAGCAATGAATAGCTAAATGCTAAGCTCGGCTCGGCTAGGCTGATTGAGTTGCTCCGGGGAGAAACATTTGCAGAGCACTTTCCGGACCAAATTAAGGCGGCAACTCTTTGGCAACAAATTCCGCATTCAAGTCCCATAAACAATGCCGCAAATTTCGAAAATTTCCCCGCCAAGCCACCAGCAAAACTTCCGCAATTTTGCGTGCGAATCAGAAAAGACCATTAAAATTTTAATTAAAATTGCGTATACGCAACGTGTTCGCATTGTAACAGCCGCGCTGGCAGGCCCTACTCTCATTCTCATCAGTTTTCCGCACAATTTACAGGCAGCATTTAAGTCTATTTAATCCCAATCCCCTGCCCGCAGAAAACTCTGGCCCCCTTCACCTTCACCATATCGGCGGACAAACGCTATCTGCTTCTGGCCCAGAATGTTGTGAAACTGTTCCGCCACTCCTACCTGGCCCAATACACGCTCTACGACATCCAGACCAGGTAAGCTCGAAACGAGGCTCACTTTGCCCGTAATCATGGCCCCCTTACCCCTAATTCCTCCCTGCAGCGAGAGCATCAAGTTGCGGCACAGTCAGCACCAGGATGAATGGCCGTATCTGCACTTTGCACGCTTCACACCCGCCGGCAACGCGCTGGTCTGGGTGCAGGGCTACGACATCTACTACCGCACGGAGGTGCGCAGCCCGACGGTGCATCGGATTACCCATGATGCGGTGCCCGGAGTGGTGTACAACGGAATACCGGACTGGCTGTATGAAGGTGAGACGTCAGTCGGTTATAAGATATATTCCAGGGTGTTTGGTATTTAAAAGAAGAAAAAGAGAGGTTGTTCTTAATATTTCTTAAATTAAAATATAAATTAATATACTAAACAAATATATTCGCTAATTATTTTATAATGAAGCGGTTTGTAGTCTTTAGAATCGTTTTTCCAGTTCCCGTACAGTTCACCCAGTCGTATACGTGATTTTTGAACAAAGTAATTAAGAGCTACTGAATTCCTTAGTTTAATTTCTAAAAAGCTCCTGATTATCATTATTCATCAAAACCTTTTAAATATTTATATTTTCTGATTCCGAGATACAAACTATTTTCTATTTTAAAATTGGTTTTTAGCATTCCTTACTATTGTGCAGTCATTTGTAAAGTGAGAACTCGCCAAGTTAGCATTTAATTTAATCTAAACGATATTATACTCAACTACCACTTATTGCCATTTTCCGTTCTGTTGCGCATTTCACAGAGGAAATTCTCCATGCAAATAATGCGATTTGGATGTCGGACAACGGCCAACTGATGCTGTACGCCACCTTCAACGACACGCACGTCCAGGAGCAGCACTTTGCCTGGTACGGCACGACTGGCTCGTCCGGCGGAGCGGCTGCAGCTGCAGCGGCAGCGGCGGCAGCAGGAGGAGGCGGTGGCACTGGAACTGGTGGAAATAGCGGCTCGGCGGGCAGCAGTAATCCGCATGCCAACCTGTACCCGGAAATCAGGTCCTTACGGTAAGTCGTGACCCCATTACGGGCGAGACTTGGGCTATATCGCTTTTCGATTATGTGTTAATGATGCCTCATCTCTCTCGTGGCCGTCGTTAGCTCTAATGGGATCCTAGCGTCACGCTTGAAATTCATGAGGTGACAGTGGGGTAACCTTTTTGTAGGTGGATTCAGGCAGTGGATTCAACCTTTTCCGGTGGCAAAATCCCTTCTCCGCTGCCTGACTGACAGTGTGGGCATGGGCAGGGAAATTAGTTACCGGGCAGCATAAGACAAAACAACATTTTGGGGCACCTTGCCAGGCGGCGATGTATTAACGGAGTGTGGGCTCCATACAGGTTGATCCCCTGTCAATTGGGTTTGATAAATTGCTGAAGGAGGCACCCGGAAAAGGCCAAGAGAAGGCTGTCCAACTTGGTAGGCTAGGGTTTTGTCCCAAAGTCGACAAATAATGAATGAAGCTAAAGGTGAATTAAGGTTTAATTTTGTTTTGCTTTCCTCCGGCAGATATCCAAAGCCGGGCACTCAGAATCCCACAGTGACCTTGCGGGTCGCCGATCTGAAGGATCCGCAGAAGGTTCACATCACCGACCTGCGACCACCGCAAATTCTGGCTCATGAGTAAGTTATCTGTAACTCATAAATAATTTAAAATATTTTGTATATTACCTAGATATATTACTAAACAAATTAACTAAAACTACTCCTATCCCCTGTTCCTTCTCCACACAGAGATCATTACTTCAGCAGCGCCAGTTGGGTGAGCCACTCAAAGATTGCCGTCGTTTGGCTAAATCGTCCTCAGAACATCTCCGTGGTCAGTGTGTGCAAGGCTCCCGCCTTCGAGTGCATCGAGGTGAGTCCAATTAGGCTTCGGAGCCACCAATCTGCTTATAAATCCCATCCGCCGGTTGCAGACCCACCGGGTGAGCGGCGACGGACGCGGCTGGGTGGACACTGTCACAGTGCCTCTGTTTGCCACCAATGCCAGTATCTACGTGGCCATCTCCCCGCTGCGAGATGGTCTGTTTGGTAAGTCATTGAATCGTCAAATTGGCCTTTGTTCCTCGGAGTGACACAGAATCCCTCTCCCTCTCCAACCAATACCTCTTAATCGCAGGCTATTTCCGGCACATCGTGCACGTAGACATCGACAATAACCGGGTGCTGCCCCTCACCCATGGGCCCTACGAGGTGAATCGATTGTTGCACTGGGATCAGCTGGATAATTGGATGTAAGTGATTGGGCACACACGCGGCCGGTTTCACTTCCGTTCGAGCTGTGGAAAACGTATATACGAAATGGAGCCACCCATAAGCTGTGGCTCATTTATTGAAATTGTAAATAAAATATATTTCCAAGCTCGAAAAAGGAGTGATACTCTGAAGTAAAATTTTTCCACATAAAATATAAAGCAATAAAATTAAACCCGTAACTATGAAACCTTTGATCATTCTAGCTACTTCCTTGGCACTCCGGAGCGCCTACCTTCCCAGCAACATCTATATCGCGTATCCGCCCTGCCGGCCCGTCAAGGCCAAGCCTTGCAGCCGCCAGACTGCCTGACATGTCCGGCGCTGATGCAGCAAGCCGAGGGCTACGAGGAAGGTCACACCAAGTCGCCACCGAAGCTGGTGACTGCCTGGGACGATGACTGGGAGGACTCCGAGGAAACAGAGGCGCAGTTGCCGCCACAACCCGCGCTGCCGGTAGAGCAGCAGCGTCCTGGAAGAGGTCAAAGTGCCCCATTGCCACCGCCTCCAAGTGATTGCCTTTACCACGAGGCCCAGTTTCCGCCCTCTCGGCGGGCCAAATACGTCCTGGTCGACTGCCTGGGACCTGTAGTACCCACCTCCATTATCTACGGCCTGAAATCCTCCACTCCCTCCAAAACAAAGAGGCAGAGCACTCAGCAAGAAGAGCCTCCCACGGATGGCGGGGGAGAGAAGGTGACGGAGGAGCCGAAGTCACAGTTCCTGGAACTCCTCGTCACCGTGCAGAATAACACTCGGTTAAAAGAGAAGATGGCCAAGACAGCCATGCCACAAGTCAAGACCTTCCCCGTGATGATCTCCGGAGGCTACCATGCCCAGGTGCGACTTTATTTGCCGCCCGTTTTGCGCGAGGATGAGATCACGCGGTATCCCACCATATTGCACGTTTACTCGGGTCCCGGCTCTCAGTTGGTCACCGATCGCTGGCACGTCGATTGGAACACCTATCTGGCTGGCAGCAAGGACTATATTGTCGTGGAGATCGACGGACGGGGATCCGCGGGCCAGGGTTACCAGCTGCTCCACGAGGTCTACAAACGTTTGGGCAGCGTTGAGGTGTCCGACCAACTGGAGGTCAGTGAGTACCTTAGGGACAACCTGCACTTTATTGACTCCCGGAGAATGGGAGTCTGGGGCTGGAGTTACGGCGGATACACGGCTGCACTGGCCCTCGCTGGCCAGCAGTCGATCTTCCAATGCGGCATAAGTGTATCGCCGGTGACCAACTGGAAGCTGTATGGTGAGTTTGTTATAGTTTCTTAAATTGTGAATAGAAAACACCTGCTCCACTCTATATATTTTCAGACTCCACCTATGCCGAGCGCTATCTGAGTTTCCCCAACGTGACGGATAACTACAAGGGTTACGAGGAGAGCGACCTATCCAAGTACGTGGATAACCTGCGAGATCGCCAGTTCCTGCTCGTTCATGGCACTGCGGACGACAATGTCCATGTGCAGCAGTCGATGGTGCTGGCCAGATCCCTCACCAGCAAGGGAGTGCTCTACAAGCAGCAGATATATCCTGACGAGGGTCACAGTTTATCGGGGGTCAAGCGACACCTGTACCGCTCGATGACAGCCTTTTTCGAGGACTGCTTCAAGAAACTGGTAAGTGATGCGACTCTGATTTTAGGACATTATTTTGTATTATATTCCACTCTCCTACCACAATTATATATATATATAAATCTCTCTGTTTCTCCTGCTCTCAAAAAAAAATACACAAATTCACCAACTCACCGCCAAAACATACCACAACAATTGTTATTTATTTTCGGTTGTCTTTTCGGTTACGTTCTTGTTCACCGACCCCCCCTCCTCGTATAGATCGATCAGCAACAACAAAATCAAACAGATTCCATGGATTTCCTGGACTTTCATAGTTTCTATGGCCGCTAAGTTTGATTCCATTCCCGCACTCTCCAGATAGTAGGTACTGTCGCCGTTGCCAGTTGTCCTCCATCGCCGTCGATTTCCCATTGCTTTCGAATGGTTAATACTTAATTGTCGTTATCATTGTCGATGTTGTCATTAGTTGAAGGTGCTCTCAATCTGTTTACCAATTTATTCGCTGTTTCAATGTCATGTTGTCAATGTTGGATGGGGACCGAACCTATATACTTTCTGTCACAAAAATTAAGAGTTAAGATAGTAGATGTTTTATGTTTAGATACCACTTTTCACATGGTGTTATTATAATTTATTTATTTTAAAAATGATTTACTTTTTATAAACCTGAAAATGAGAGCTTGAATCGAATCCGGAACGAGCTTGAATGTAACCCAATTTGTGTAAGCATGCGTAGTAAAATCAATATTAAATAATAAGGATTATTTCAAGCAGATTCCGGTCTTAACCTATAGGAAAGTGTGTTAAGAGAAACATTCCAATATGATAAATAATATTTAAAACATTTCTTTGTCACAGTCCGATAAATCATAGTTCAAACCTAAACTTAGCCGAATAGTTTTCCGACATAAGCCTTAAGTTACCGCGTAAAGCTTTCTAGGTGGTATTTTAATTTAATATTACACGCGTTGAATCCGAATTACACTGGTTACACTTTAGGCTTAATATAGCTTACCAGGGAAACTTCATTTTCGGTCCCTGTACCAGTCATAATCGTATGTGTTTGCTGTTGGTTTGTTGGCTTTTTTCCCGGGGATATTGCGGCTTCCAGTTGAACTTACTTGTGTTTATTTTAGTTTTCGGTTGGTCTTCCCTGGATTATTTTTGGCTCTTGTCTGCTGCAAGTTTTCGTTATGAGTTCCACATCTTCCTCTGTTTGGGAGCCCACTTTCCCCATTATTATTCCGAAAGTTGTTTCGCCTTGGATATACATATACATTTTATATATGTGTGTGTATATTTATTTTTTTTGTTCTTTTGTCCTGAATTCCCGTTGATCCTTTGTTTGATTCAAACAAATTGTTTTGGCTGTCCTACATATGTTTTTTTTTTTTTTTTTGTATTCATTTATTACACAACAACAATTACAATTCGCTCACGAGTAACAAAAACAAAAGATGAGTGTCCTACATATGTATCTTTTGGTGTGTGCGTGTGCGAGTCTTTTATTGGGACTTTTTGTTGCTCGATGTGTTTTCCTTTTAAGCAGGCTAGAACCACACACACACACACACAAAATACACACACACACACAGACACAGACTTTCTACTTTACCTAAATGTTTGCTTATGCCTTGATTGTGCTTACTGTTTTCCATGTAAAACTGCTATCCTTCCGAACAAGTATCCTATCCAGTTTCACTATCTTTTACTCTTACTCTTACTCTTGCCTTGTCTGCCAATCAGTGTAGAAAATAATTGAATTCGATGCGGTGAAGTAATGGTGCTTTTTTTGTAATTTACCAAACAACAGGTGCCGCCGGAAACGAAAGCTGGCCTGGGGAGTGGCGGCGATATGCAGCAGCAATAAGCATAAATTATGGAATCACCAACAATATACATATATAAACAGCATATTTCTGATAGGAAACAAAAAAAAGTATAAAACGTCGCTAACTTCAACTGGAACGTGCGAACGAAATGGTTTTGTGAATTGCATAAAATGTGATTTATCATCGGCACACCAACAGCAACACTCACACAGACCCACACACACCCTGGGACAGAGAACTGTTAAATGGCAACACGAATGGCCCAGCAACAACAAGCAACTAAGTTAAATGGCATTTGGTGTAAAATTAATAAGCAAAACAGCGCAGCAGCAGCAGCAAAAGCAGCGAAAATGCCAAGTAAGTGTGGACAAAAAGCAGCATAAACAAATAAATGTATGTGTACGAACGTACGTACATATGTATATGTGTGCAGACAAAGCGAACAAAATCAACATGGTTGTGAAAACATAACTCACACAGGCACAGACCCCGACACTCGCACACAGACACAAGCACAACGACAGAGAAAGTAAGAGAGAGCGGCAGAGGGAAGAAGAGCGCGCGAGAGCACGCACAAAGGTAGGCAATAAAAATTTACACATGCGGCTTTTCTCCGCCGACAGGTGTGACATTTCCTTACTCTCGTAAAAAGGTTTTCATAACTCCATAAAGCCTTTGCTCAAAGTGTCCCTCACCGAGTCAATATCCTTGAATTTTCATAGTTTTCGTTCGCTGATTTCTTGAAAACCAAAACAAAGCTGGCTAACATTGAGTATTATTTTAATTAAATTCAGCTAATTATATTTCAGAAAAAACATTTGTACAACAAGAGTATTCCTGTATCGACTGTACCCTATTTTACTTATTCCCTGCCACTTTTTTCTCCCATATCGTAATTTATGCATTTTTTGCATAAATTTCCAATGAACAACAAACAGAAGCAAAATTGAAAAACAAATTTATAGAAAATGGTACACGTGAGCCAGCTGAGGTTGAGGTTGCCCGCTTGTACGGAAATGACCAGCATAAATCAAATCTGACGGCATTCTAAACGACATTTTCGGATAGTCAAACATTTTTATCATTTGCCAGGGTAAAGTTTCCCAAAATGTATAATGGCTCACAGGGGCAGGAAGTGGCCCATAAATTGGTAGGAAATTTATGGACTTGGCTCGTAATTGAGACTGGCTTTGCTGACAGAACTTCTGATTGAGGCGACAACTCGTTAACTGAACTTATTCCAAGATTAAACACACATTGAATTTGAATTCAATTCAGTCATTGTTTGGCTAGATTAAATTACGCTTTTAATTTTATTTTCGTTACTCGTAAATTTGACCATAAAATTTACTGCCGGACAGAACACGGAATGAAACTGAACCGTGTCCGAGAGATGGACCTGGACCTCAGCTGAAGAGTAAAGAATTCGTTTGCAGTAAAGTTTAATTAAATCAAGCGATATAAAAACAGGGCAATAAATAAAGCATAAATAATTGAAACGAAATGAAATGAGCAACAAACAAGCAACAAAATACTTTCGAATAAATGCTGAAATAATTACATTTTCAGTCAGCAAACACAACGGAAACCAAATGGCCAAAGTAAAATTAAATGAACAAGGGAGGACAAAAGATGAAAATACAAACATACTGAAATTAAAAATCAAACCAATTAATTAGTTTAAATGCATGTAAGTAGCGCAACAATATTTAAAATATGAACTAGTTAAATTTGAGACTTTTTGTTCATTTCTATTGCCATTACTTCGCACCGAAGGCAACCAAAAAATACAATTCTAAACGAGAGTAGTGACAGTAGCGTTAATCCGAAACCGAAAACCAAAAAATATAGTAGTTAAGCGAGGATTAAAGTATAAACACAACTGAGAAAAGGTCAAAAATAGCTGCGATACACATTAAACATAAAATGGTATGGAAAACAATGCTCGAATCACAGAATCGGAAGCAGGAAGTAAGGAAGCTCCATGGCGCAAAGGACACCGCATCGCACAGTTGGCAAAAATCTCAATTAGAACAAGTTACCTCCTCTCTATCCCCAACCTAGACCAGAGCAATGTGCAGAAAAGGATTAGCTTTAATTAGATATTTGGCGCGGCACAGTTTTTGAGAGCGGTAGTTAATTAGCAACCGCCGGGCGAATTTTCACTGAGTTGCGGCCCTTAATTATGACGGTTGTACAGGCCGTCCCCCAGGAGATGGGGCACAACCCATCGTATTCTGTGTCAGATGAACATGGGCCCATGATACCCCTAATGGGACACGGTACACAGTGAAGTAAGATAAAAGCTTGTACCTGAAATTTCGGCAGATAGAGAAGCAAGAAATGAGCCCTAAAAGGAATTCTGAATTTAATTTACAAAATCTAACCTAATTTTGGATACAAATTTGCTAACTAGCAGCAATCTTCACGCGTTTAGGTACTGCAAAATGGCCAACAGTCTTGAAACTTTATCTTGCCATAAAATCTGTTCAAGTTGCGCCAACGAAGCAGTACTTTAATGCTCGCAAAATTTATATAAATATAAACGTGTGTATCCAGTTACGGCTCCTGCAGCCCCTAGCAATCCCAGCGGTCTAGAGTTTTTCCCCCAACTTTCAGGGCAATTTTAATAATAAAGCCGCGTTGGCCGTAGAGTATGCTACACAAAATATAAGCTCGTCCTTACAACGTAACCCATTTTCAGCCATCCGCCACCCAGGTAGGCAGTGATGTGTGCCGTTACCGGTGGCTGGCATTGGTGTTGGAAAATTGCGAGGCAACATAAATTTATGTCTGCCTGACACTTTTATGTGCCGCGCTGGCGGTTTCAGCTTTTTACGTCGCGTTTTTAGACGCTGGCAAAACGCATGCCAATGTTTGGCTAAGCCGCAGGTTCTCCTGTCCACAATTAACTCGCCCAGGTGCCGCACCGCCACACCTGGCCAGCCCAGAGTGCGTGTGTGTGTGTGTATCTGTGCGAAGGCGTTTATATTTAGCCGGAGAAAGGTCGTCTGTAAAAGGCCATCTGCTGCTCTCAATCCCGGCCCCAACGCCAGATAAAGGAGAAAGGTGTCTGCCTTAAAAAGGGCCTAGACTGGAGACCATTGTTCCTGTGGACTCTCCGAGATGAAGCCATAAGTGCGATGCTGTGTCGGGGGAAATTTGAATGGCGTGAAAATAAAACGATACCGAAAACCAAATACAAAAAAAAAAGAATACTTAAATGCTTTCTATGTAGTGTACTAAGGACCAATTACCAAAGAGACATGCGGAAATAACTAAATAAATATATATACATATACAAATTATGAAATTGTAGCCACGCGCAGTAGAGGATTAACGAAATTTGCAATATATACATAGACCCACATACGACATAATGAATATTGACTCAATACCATTTAGTAATTATACAAGCATATATATACACCTAACGATATATACAAGAAATCGAATAAATATGTATACACATACGGATATGGTAGCTTAGTTCGATTAGTGGATCAAAAGTTTGCATTATTCGAGTTACGACCTTTGAAAACCAAACCAAGTAAAAACCAAAAACACTCAAACAAAACAAACTCTGAACTGTTAAAATACTATTAGCTCAAATGGAAACTCGCCGGGGAGTGAATAACCCGGCTAGTGGCTCTGTATAAAAGGTAAACTGTAATATACGCCTATGCATAACTAAATAACTATACTTTGATATATGATAAATATATTTTATAAACAACTTTTACTCTTAAACAATAAACAATTTTAATACTCTGTCTTCAGCCTTACCGTAAAGTAAATGAAAGAATCTATTAACTCCTTAAGTAGATCTCCAGCAAGGATGGACCTAGCCTAAATCCAACGAAATCGATAACAAGTTGTTAGTTATGTTCTTGATTGTAAATAAGCTTTAAATGGTTGACTCAATTCGAACACTTTGTTTACTCCTTTCGTTAGAGAGCGTTTGCGAAATACTTTCAAGTGTTTGAACCAAACAGGCCAATAGCGAAAACAAAACCTTTGTGATCCAACAAGTTTCTTCTCTTCCATGAAGCAAAACCAAAGCTAACAAATATAATAATATGAATTTAAACTAATTATGTAATTACATTGACTTAATTAGCTGAGATGTTCAATAATTTCGCCAGGCATTTAGTAATGAAAGTTTATGAAAAATCATGAAAAATGAAAATCCCTATAATAAATGAAGGAATAAACAGAACACTGAATGAGATGATGTTTTTATTTGTGGGAATTTAAACTTTTAAAGGTAAATATTTTGTAGAATAGAATGAGTTCCAGCTTGAAAAAATTACTTAAATTGCACACCAACAACTTCTAAATCGTAAATCAAACCTTTCAAGCAATCCCCAGCCCATAATACGTAACCATTGTGCATTTTCCCCACCATTCCCAGCTGGGATATTCCCAGCATTATAGCTGCAAAAAATGTCGATCAATTTCCTGGTCTATTGGCCAACTAAATCAAATCCACACCTCTGGGGCCCGAATTAAAAATGAAATATTGCACTAAGTGCCCGAAAGAGTTCCATTGAAGCGGCGATTGCCAACCTGTCTGCGATTTTGCGGTCCTGCCGCCCGGAGAAGGAACAGAAAATCGAAAATGTAAACCGTGAAAAAGTCCGGTTTGGCAATCTGCATAAAACACGTAACGAGTTGCAGTCCGCTTTACCGCTTTGCCACATTCCGAACTTTTCCGCCCACCCAACGCCCCTTTGTTGGCCACCGACCGCCGACTAAAAGGCGGCACGCAAATAGCCACAAAATGTGCGCCTGGCATGCAATGACCATCGGTTTGGGGCCACTGGACGCGGGCCAAGAGAAAGAGGCCGGCCGGGTCCTGGCCAGGCAGAGACCTCCCTGATTCAAGCAGGCAAACTTTCGACTAAATTGGCCAATTGTTTGCCAAGGCGCTGAGCAAGAAAAAGTGTTGCATATTTGATGCCGTTTTACACACAGCTTTTCCCCATCGTTTTTCTTTTGTGCGCCCCAAACGAACCGGAGCCGAAAAGGTGGCAAGTTTTAAAAGCCCTCGTTTTGGCAGCTAATAATTTATCGGAGCGATTCTTGCCACTAAGCGTCTAATTGCCACTCGAGCGGGGTGTTGGCCGTTTCGCTGGTTATCGGGAACAAATATAAAAGTATATGGTGTTATAATGTACGGATGGCATGGCCGGCTGCTCTAATTGAGCCGCAACAACAAGGGATATGTCCGGCGCAAATTGGCGTCCACTTAAATCGGGAAACCCGAGACGACGACGAGAAAGGAATGGACCGCCCACCGGCACTGCGATTCACGTATGTCATTCCGGGTCATTATCTAATTTAAACAATGGCCTCCGTTTGTATCAAATTTAACTCAGCTGGGAAACACCCATTGCATAAACAGCTAAGGATTTGGCCCACCTAGTGGTGGGTCAATGTAATCAGTGCAAAAAAAACTTAAATTAAATTGCTTAAAAACATGCTTTAATATTTATCAATGGGTGCACTTTCCTGCAATTTATTTGTAGTTGAAATTTATAATTTAAGCTGTAAATCTTAGACCTGAATAAAGAATATAAAGACTCTGAAATATATTAAATAAATGTTTAAGCTGCTGCAGGGTTTTTTCTAAATTCTATAAATTATTCTATAAATTATTCATTTTTAAGTTGCAGAAGGAAAAAGTCATAAAGGCAAAAGGTAGCACTTATGCATTCATAAAGTGTGTGATTTGGTACGTAATCAAGAGAGGTGTCAGCTTACGGCACACATGACGTGGGTTCAGTGACCTAATTCGGCAGCATCGATTCCAATTTATGGCACCTACGAAAGCTGAAATGTAAATTTTAAATGTTTGCTTTAATTTTTTTTTGCCCCGATATGTTATTCAGGGCACACTCGGAGGCTACTCCGCCTGCCCAGTCCGCCGCTAATGCCAATCAATTGCCGTCCGATATCCTGACAAGGGTTCCTCCAACAGTTGGCTATTTCTGCGCTATTGTGAATCATACGCCGGAGAAGCCCGTCGTCTGTCAGAGCGGAGTAGGACTCCATACAGTCGCAGGATAATGCCTTATGTACGGACGCACAATACATAAATAATTTACATTTCGCATGGTCACGCACAAATCATGTGAGCCCCGGTGCCGTGGCGGGAGCAAACAGACAGTCGAGGAATTGGAATTGGGTTTTGGGTTTTTGGCTCCACATAGCATAGAGAGGGCGGACGATGCCGCATGATGCGTATAAAAGTGACAGTTCAACATGGAAACCCACTCAAAATGTTAATTGATACGTATGCAAGACGGAAACGGGCCGCGGGGCATGTGCTGAAACTTTTCCATTCTGTTTTTTTGGACGGCAGCCAGGCAGGAGCTGTCAATGGAATGATTTTCAAGGGAGCTTAATGCAGGGCTGCGTGAAACGGATCATCGATTAAGGGGGGATATACATGTAAACCAAAATTTTTTGGGCAAATTTTTTTTTTGGTTTAAAAAATAGTTTATTATTTAAAGAATATAGTGTGTAAGTTTCATTATCGAATTCCAACTCTAAGTGCCTCAAATCAAGTATGCACGCAAGGTTCACAAGGGTTAACGTGGGCGCATTAAAAACTTTAAACGTCTTTTTCTCAGCTTCTAATTTTTGCACTTCTACCTATGCTATGGACACGATTCACAAAAAACTATGTAACATATCGGAGTAAATCAAAAATTATTATGATCAGCATGAAATTATCTTCTATTTGAACCTACATGGTTGTTATAAAACTGAGTATTACTATTTTTAAGAGGGTGGGAAGTGAAAACTGATAACCTGAAAATGGCATTTTTTCCTTCAAATCAAAATTTATTTTATTTGTCTTGATTTCTTTTTGGTTTTTTAGGTTCAAATAGAAGATACAGGTGTAATGAATACAAAAAAATTTAGTTTAAGGATTTCGGACAGGAATTACGAGCTCTATCGTGTCCATAGCACGGCAACTCAAAGCTCAAGGCGCTACGGCATATGTTCCATAAGTCCGCCATTTTGTAAAATATTGTTTATAACTAATTTTTTTTATCATCTCTGATTCTACTTTAAACTATATCCAAAGTTTCAAGACGATTGCTTGACTATTTCTTATAAAAAAAATTCACGAAAAATGGCCAAATTTTGTCCGCTTACATGTATATCCCCCCTTAAGATAATGGAATATACATTAGAGGTTTACGCCGATGGTTAAAGGCATCGGCGGCGGCGTAGAGGTCAAAATGACTCGGCGGCGGCGGCGTAGTAGTCAGAAAGAACCGGCGGCGGCGGCGCGTCAAATAAGGCAAAAAGGCCATTTTAATGAGTTATTTATTTTTTTTAAGTTTTATAAAGAACAATGACACTGAAGGCCGCGCTGAAGCTGCGCCGATGCCGCACCAGCGGCGCGCCGCGGCGCGCCGTTATTTTCATAATTTGGCGGCGGCGCGTCAAATAAGGCAAAAATCGGCGGCGGCGGCGGCGTGGCGCGGCGGCGTATATGTCTAATATACATATGTTATGAAGGTATAGGTACATATGCATGAATGGACTTTTGGGAGATTCGAAATAATAAATTAGTTTATATTTAAAACCAGTTTTTTCTGAATCTTAAATTGATAATTTTATTAATTTTTACGTTTACTGTACTATATTTTTAACAATACGTTATGGTTACTTTTAAAATAAAATTTTCAAAGCCATTCTATATGAAAGCTTCCTTGATTCTTAAGTTTATTTATGAAAGATATCAAGGAAAGATATTATTTTTATTTATATCCAGTGAGTCAGGCGGCTATATTACTCTCAAAATTATAAATTTATTTTGCTACTATTAAAATTAAAACATTTTGGTAGCAATGATTGATTTTAAACTCCGTAGAACCAGCTAGGCATTATTTTAATTTAATCTTTATTTGTAACGGTCATTTTCAAACATAGATTTCAGGCGTTGCCATATGGAACAATCTTATGACCACTGTTGCCACTGACGTTTTTTAAAAGTATTTTTCGTCAGCAGGCGCAGGGTCACACTGATTACATCGCAAAAAAGAAAACATATTTACGTTACAATAATTTAATTATTTTATCCATGGAATCACTCAACGATGACTGCGTATGTCACATACTGGAATTCCTGCCCCTCGTGGAACAGATTAAGATGGCCCGGCTGGCGCCGCGGTTTCAGGAGCTGCTATGTCTGATTGTGTGGCGAAAGCCCCGGTACCGGAAGGTTTCCGTATCCGATTCCATGCTGGAACCCCTGAGCAAGGAGGATTACGTCTTCTTCTTCGAGCTGACCAGCGCGGCAATGGAGGAGCTGTACATCTGGAACGTCCACAAGAAGGCCTTCGACTCGTATTTGGGTCGACACCTCATGAGGCCAGAACTGGCCTTCTACTTGCGCCGAGACTACAGAAACCTCCGGGAATTGTGCATCGCCGACGAGAGCATGAACAACAGCATGATAAACACGATTGCCAAGAGCTGCCTCCAGCTGCGCAGCTTGAGCGTTTCCAGTGCCTATATCACGGGGAAGTACATTGTGGCCCTGACCAAGCTGGAGTCGTTGGTGGCTCCCGAGTGCTCCGTGGAGCTGTCCTACCTAACTGAGTTGCTGAAAGTCCTGCCTCTCAAGCACCTGGATCTTACCTCCAACCGACATCCTGTGGAGGCGACCATTCTGCAGGCGGAGGGCAGCAAACGCTTGGAACGCCTTGGACTATCCGATGCTCAGGACTATGGATTTCCGTTGGCTGATAGCCTGCCCCAGCTGACGACGCTGGTGGTCAGCTATCACAAGGTGAGCCCACAGGATCAACTGGACATGCTAGAGACAACACGGAAGCGGGTGGAGGGATATGAAGGCAAGTTTCCCAAGCGCCTGCAATCGATCCTCTGCAATGTGGTGGATGTGGAGGTGGCCCTCGAGCAGATCGCCGGCCTAGAGAAGCGCCAGCCCAGGGAATCGCCCAAGTTCAGTGAGCTGCTAAAGATTATGTACTTCTTGTCGAACGCGCAGGTCGCTGATAAGAGCTCACCTTGAGATTATGCCACTGGTCTGCCCTCTGTACATGTACATAAATAGCTATTAGATGTCACCAAACTGACAAGTGGAACTGATATGTTTATCTGTTAGCCAGTAGCTTCTCCCTAGGGTAATTATGTGGCGTCGCAGATAGCTTTGTTTGGACTGGTATCTGTTGTTTACCTATATTTTCGGCGTCTTGTTTAAGCTAAAGTATATTGTATCAGTTGTTGGAAAGTTGCGCTGAATAACTGTTTGTTTTACTCTTGCCCCAGAGTCTATAACTTTTAAACATAAACGTAATATGCATATAAAAAACCATAAAAACGTATACTAGGTGAACGTTAAGTGGTGAATTAGCGTGGGAAACCACTTGCCTGGCTGGATTTGTTGTTCAATTTTTGTTTATTTAATTTAATTTTAAATTTCGCCCAGCTTGAAATATCTATTTTATGCAAATACGTATGTAATGTAATACAAAAATGTTTATAAACCTTAATTTGTGGGGCGTTAAATACCATTACACCAATGCGATAGAATAATATTACATTTTCGCCAAAAACAATGTTTTGATACCCTTCCGATTATAAACAAATTTGTTTTTCTTAAAATTTGGTAAGACGATCTATAGAAGCCATAAACTATTGTCGACAAACAGAACATACATATCCATTGTATTTCGACTTACTACGAGCTAAAAAAGATATATTTTTATTGTAAGAGGTAGAATGTCTCCTTAAAAGCTTTGCTAACAAATTTATTACCGTGCCTTGGCCTTAATTTTCTTTTTCTTTTATTTCTCCCAATCATTTCAAAACCTAAACCAAGTGTATTTAAAGTTTCGGCTACTCCGAACCTAGTCCACCATTATTTTTCCGAAATGTATTCTGCTTGCAGTTAACGTGGCTGCACGGGACTAAATATTTATTTTGTTTTGTGTCCACATTTGTGCCAGTTCTGTAAACAAGATGATTCTGGCGGAGGATGGAGCTGTGATAGAAGCGAACCAAATATTCCATTGACTTGTTAGACCCCTGTCTAATTGATATATGTATATCAATTAGGACCCAATTGTCAGACAATACACAGTTCTCTTCTCTTTTGTCGGCACATTTTTCCTATGGTTAAGAGGTTTTTTGTTGCTTAAATCTGTACTGTTATTATATTTGTATAAATGCAGGTCATGTTATTAAAATAAGAATTGAAAACTTTATTAAATGAAACGTGAGTCAGAAATGATTGGTTAAAACGAAACCAATAAAATATAAATTCAAAGTGTATTAATGTCGGATAATGAACAATGAAAAATGGGAATAGTAGTCCCCTTTCTTGGAACTCCAGTACTGGTGATACGTGTCCAAGTGTGTCATGCTGCAAGCGGACTATACCACAAACCAGGGCCCCAGATACGAGAACATCACGCCGGAAAAAATGCCCGTAATCAGCATGGCAGCTGCGTACATACCAGCCGTCGTCTGGTACTTGGTATGAACGGTCTGCGGGGCATACATCATGCCCAGGGAGCTGAGATATCCGGAGCTGTAGGCCATCAGAATGCCGATGCCCCAGTAAATCCAATCGTTGTCAATGTACACCGCCAAGGAGCGAATGGTGTCCGGTGGGGCGTAGTTGCAGAACACGAACAGGGGGATGAACACCACGCGCAGCACCACGGGCACCCAAAGGAACCGCGGACCAGGCCATTGTATCCAGGATGTGGTCAGGCTACCCAGCATCGCACACACGTTGAACGTTAGGAAGCACGTGATCAACACGTAGTAGTTATCGCTGACGATGAAGTCGGGATCCGAACGGTGCACACTGGACTGGATGGCTGGGAACACGGACAGCGATACAAAGAACGTGAAGAAGATGTTGAACAGCTGCGGCGAGGCCTTCTTGAAGATCGCCCAATAAGGCACATTTAGCTGCTGCTTTGAGTCCGTCTTCTTCTCGCTGCTCCGGCTAATGCTTTCGTAGTGCCGGAAGAACTTGTTCAGCGGCAGAGCGAAGTAGGAATCAAAACAGAGCAGTAGCACCAGGATGGCCGTCACAAAGTAGTAGATGGCAGCGGTGCGCTTGGAGTCGAATATCAAGGCGCACAGAATGGACATCAGGGTGGTGAAGCAGCCGCAGATGTTCGAACCGAGCACCACGGCACCGGTGTACTTAATCGGCAGCGAGGCCACAATGCCGTAGATGGTGTTCTGATAGATGCCGTTGCAAATGTTGAGTAGGACAATGCAAACCATGGTGATCCAGAAGAAGGTGCCGGGCCACTCGGACGAGTCCAGCATGGCCAGGACAATTGTCACCAGCAGGATGACCATCTCGATGATGATGCTGTACACAATCCGGCTGGTCAGGTCCCCGCCGAAGTTGACGAAGATGTTCAGCCAGTTGAACAGCACGTTGGGAATCTGCGAGGCAAAGCCCATGTTCTGCATGAAGTTGGTCCGATAGTTAATCTCCGTGGGCACCGTGTTGTTGGCACCGAACTTGAAGTCCTCGAAGTAGGACTTGGCGGTGATGAACATGTTCCATGGCATCAGCGTACCCAGGCCATGCAGCATGAAGATGAAAAACACGATGAGAAACTTGTCCTTTGGCTCCAGCCGGCCGAGCTTGGCTATCGCCGACCCAGCAACGGATCCCTTGCCATTGGAGGAGTCATGGGGCGGCAGTTTGGACTCCCACGAAGGATTCAGCGTCACTGGGGCCGGCTGCCCGCTGATGAACGGCGACTTTTCCGATTTTGAGTCCCTCATGGCTGCGAGCGAATGCAGTTGTGGTGGGCCTGGTCCGGGTTCGGATGTCTTTCAGGTTCTGGTTATGCGGGCGACAGCAATTATTGGGGCGTATGCTTGAAATCCGAAAACTTGCGCGGTCAGTTATTCTCGCCGATTGGCGCGGGGGACGCTAAACCGGTAGGAGAGCGGGAAGGTTTGATTTTCAGCTTCGGCGTGGGACTGCTCCAATTTCAGGTACGCTGCATGCGGATTTCGCCTCCGTGCGGGTCTCGTCGCGCCTCGGATTAGCGTCACGTGGAGTTGTGCGAACTGCACTGGCCGGAGCACTGCGCGGACGTGATTACAAAATAGATCGAGAATCAAAGGTTATATACATATATAAAGGCACACGAGTTCTTGTACTATCGCCGCAGAAGATTATCGCTATCAGTCGATCGAAACGGCGGGCGTTGCCAGACCGCCGCACCACGAACCCAAGAAATAATTATGATTTATGGGCGTAGGCAATTCTTGGGGGGGGTTACGACATACTGGGGCCCCGGCTGATTTCAGCAATAGGGGGCCTCGGCTATTTTGTAATTATTGATAAGGTTTACGGAATCATACATTTCTGGATTATCAGTTATATTTATAAAACATAACGAAGTTTATTACCCTCTTGCTACGCCCATGGAACTATTAGTAATCATGGCAACAAGAAAAATAAAATCTTAAGATTATAAATTGCAAGAGATAGAAAACATGTGAAGTATGTTTCGTTGTTGATTATCTGTAATAAAAAAATTTAATTTAGTTATTTATTATTTGTATCTGTTTTATATCGTATCTCAATTATCGAGGAAACAAATCATTAAAGAAAATTTCATCAAGTTTATTTGTTATATTTTTTATTAAAGTTTTTTTCTTTTAACTTTCTTGTAGATTACGTATCTATAAAGTATGTCTTGATACTACGGTTAATACCTGATTTAAGGCCTCCGAGTCTTTCCTAATCTTATTTGTTATCAGAAGCAATTTCAAGAAATTGTAACCAAGGGGCACTGTTGCTCAAGGCAGCTCAGCTGAAAATAATATAATAAAAACTTTTCGAATTTTAAAATAATTCATTAAATTTAATATAATTATATATTAATTTAATATAATAAAAATTAATTAATTAATAATTTATTGTTAATCATTAAAAATAATAATTTATATAATATAACAACTAGTGAATTTGCTATACACCACGGAGTAGCATATTCACTGGTTCTGTAGGGGGGTATTAGGCTCAACAAGTGGCAGGGCTGCCAGATCACATCAATTTCAAAATTAAAAAAAATTTCAAAATTAAAAAAAAAAAAATTAATCATATTTATATTTGTAAATATACATTTTTTATTTTTTTTTAATTAACAACAATTTAAACTTAAATTTTTTTTTAATTTTATGACTTTTAGGAGCAACAAGTGGCAGGGCTGCCAGATCATCCCAATTTCAAAATTAAAAAAAGTTAGTTACATTTATATATGTAAATAATTATATATATATTTTTTTAATTTAATTAAATTTAAGCTTTAAAATTGATTTAATTTTATAACTTTTCCAGCCCAAAGTTTCCGCAATAGGTGGCAAGGCTGCCTTTTTTGCCCTCTTCTTCTTTCATTTCCTCGGCGGCTTTTCGTTTTTATAATATAACCACGTTGTTTACCATTTTAATCACTGAAATCAACGACCATGGCCACTGAAACGGCCTCTCCGAGCATTCAGTTGGGCGACTACATCGTCATCCAGCGCCAGAAGTACACAAAACTGCAGAAATTCGGCAGTTTGGACACCACAGCCACTCTGGGCAAGGAGACACTGGAGCTGAAGTCGCTTCTGGACCAGCCCTATGGCTCCACATTTAAGATGAGCGTTAAGGAGACGAAGCCCGGCAAGCGCGGAGCACAGCGCCAGCATACGCTGGAGCTGTGCAGCGAAACGGAGCTCAATAGCACGCGGGAGGCCCTGGGAATCTCCAGCAGTGGAGCGGATAACCGCGATATCTGCGACAATGGAGAGGCGCAGTCCCTCAAGTCGGCGGACATTGAGCAACTGCGTGAGGAGTGCAACGAGTCCAGCAAGATCATTGAGAAGCTGGTGGAGAACTCGAAGACCTTCCACAACCGCACGGAGTACTCCCAGGAGAAGTACCTGCGCAAGAAGGAGAAGAAGTACTTCGAGTTTGTCCAAATCCGACAGCCCACGATCCGACTGATGTTGGACATCTTCTACCGCCAAGACGCTGAGAAGATCATGGGCATTCGCGTAGACACGCTTTCGCAGATCATCTCATACTCGGGAGTCTGCGGACTTGGGAGTTATCTCCTCTACGAAAGCGGGACCAATGGCCTGCTGCCAGCTGCTATGCTGAACTCCATAGGAGCGGGTACGGAGGGCAGCCTGGTTCACATGCATCCTGGCAATGTGCCACAAAAGCAGGCACTTTTGGCCCTAAAGCTCCCCCTGGAACAGCAGCTCAGATGTGTGTCGGTTAATTTGTACTCGGTTTTAAGGGAGTTCTACCAGGGAGGTGAAACGATAGGCTCGAATCTTTCTGTCACAGAGCCTACAGAAGTTGTGAGGGAGGAAACCCAGCCGGAGACACCCACTGAAGATCAGCCGGAGGCGATCGAACCGAGCACCAAAAAACCCAAGCTGGAGGAGGTTAAGGGAGAAGGTACTTATGTCTTTTAGAGAAAGCTGTGTAGAGATAAAAATTTAACACATATATCCTTTCCAGCAAACAAGGGTCCTCCACGGTGGCAGCTGGAGAACAAGCGAGCCACTGCTCTTATGCACAACAAATTTGATAGTCTTGTCTTGGCAGCCAAGGAGCATCCATCTAGCATTCTGCAGGCCCTGCTGCCCCTCGTCAAGCCCTCACGACCTGTGGTGGTGTTCAGCACCTGCAAGGAGCTGCTCCAGGAGACGTACATGGAGCTAAAGACCTCCGGAAAGGTGACGGGTCTGCATCTCACCTCGAACTGGATGCGCACCTACCAGATCCTGCCGAACCGGACACATCCGGAGGTAAACATGAGCGGAAATAGCGGCTATCTGCTGACGGGATATACGCTAAGATAGTTGTTTGACTGCCAAATACATGTAAGCGTTTGTTTTGATAATATCATGCAATGTTTTTTATCCCTATTGTGAGTGGGGATACGTGTGGAGTCCCAGTGTATGTCGAGTGTGGTGGATGGTGTTTGTATCTATGTACAGCGCTCTGTGTGATGGATCTAGTAGACGGGTGGCACATTCTTCAGCACAAAGAAATGCCCGCACTCGCACCGCTTCGGTCCCTCGTCCTTCTCGATCCACATCCACTTGGGCTGGCGGTCGTCCAGGCAAAGACAGCCCACGAGGCGGGCGTCAAATGCAGAGGGAATCACAGTTGGATCGTTCTCCCGCCCAGTGCCGCGCTTTATGATCCGCCTAAAGCCCCAGGGATCGTCGCAGCCCTGCTTGACCAGGTCCATCTCGCGCTTTTGAATGCCTGTCGCCAGTTCTTCGTCTTCAATCAACACTGATTGGTGGACACAGGCGTTTAACTAGAGATCTTTGAATTGTCCTGCCCTCCACTTACCCGACTTGTGCACCTGCGATGTGGATATGGCACGAGGTTTGGTAGAAGTTGATCCTCCCTTCAATCCAAGTTGACGCCACAAGGACTTTAGCTTGCCCTCGCGCTGGGTCAAATTAGATATAAGCCGCTTGGAGGCAGCTTGCGCCTTCAGCAGGCGCGAAATATAGGAGGACATATTTGTATTTCATAAATTTTTCCCGGTTTTTGTTAGGAAAAATAGGGCACTCCCGATAAGATGAATAAAGCAAAACTGATGGTAGAGGATTTAACAAAGCCTGACTTTTTGCGGAGAGGCCTACTTTGAGTTTAGTAAATATATTTTCTTTAAATATCCTTTTCTTTTACTTGGTGAAGTTTTATCAGAGAAAATAGCTAAAGGCTAAGCGCACATCATCATAAATTCAAAACCCACTGCGATAGGAAGTCTTCTCCTTTGGATTTGCTCAAAGAACTCATGGTTATAGCTTTCGCTCGAAATCACTTTGTTGCCTTTATTGTTTGCGTATCGTGTATAATTAAGCATCCAGCACGCCTCTCAGTTGTTGCGGTGGAGAAAATAAGGACACAACTGAAAATGGAAGATACGGCCGCCCGTTTTCTTTTGTTGTTTTTGGGTTGATGTTTGTTTATTTGGACAGCTAAATTGGTTGACTTTTAGCTTAGTAGTTGTTGTTGTTGTTGTTTTTTGTTATTAATTGGTTTATTGAATTAATTAATAATAACTTTAAACAGCTGCCTTCTCCACCAGCTTGAACCAGTGGCCGCACTCACAACGCTTCTGGTTGCCCTTCTGCAGCCACATCCATTGCACGTAGGTCTGATCCTCTTCGCCTGTGGGTGATGGAGAATATATTAAAATAAGATTTAAGGTAAGAAGCGTATAGTTAGCACTGAACACAAGTGTCTTTTAAATTTTAACCGCTTGAAAGTAACAAATAATTTGTATACTAATAAAATCCAAACAAATTAGTTATTTCGCTTCAACTAAATTTATGAAAAATTAATAATCTAATTTTAAATTAAATTTTAACTGTTAAAGACAAGGAATATTTGCAATATAGGGTCACATCCATATCAAAACAAACTTGATCTTGGAACATTCTTTGAGAATCACTGACACTAGCATATCTTGTGCTATTATCTTGCCCACAAGGACTGCCGAGGACTACTCACAGATGCAGCCCACAATGCGGGCATCGAAGGCTGATGGAATCAGGTTGGGGTTCTCCTTGGTGCCGGCACCCCTCTTGAAGACCTTCATGTCGAAGGGATTATCGTTACCGGCGGCCTTCAGCAGCAGCTCGCGCTTCTCGATACCGGTGGCGTGCTCCAATGGATCGTTCATCACTGCAATGCGGAGGAAGGAAAGGAGATGAGATGAGGAACTTGGCTCATAAATTGATAAGCGAGGGGGCCATCAGCTGGGCAATTGGCAAGCTGGTTACATAAACGGCAGACGCCCCAAACGTCAGGAGCTGCGTCATGGGTTGGGTCATCATCGGCTATTAATCTGGACGAGACCCCATCGAGGTGCTAACTCCGCAGCTCTGCCGCTCCGCTCCCCCCTCTCCATGGCAAGGCACACATTTCCCTGCGCATAGTCATTACATAACCTCGCACTCTCCACAACATCGACTTTTTCCTGCGCCCAAATTGCAGTTTTCCAGATGTCCCCGTGCAGGAGGATTGGTATTTGACTGCAGCCACTCCATAATTATGCAATTCCGGCCTTCGGTCGCCGCCAATTGGCCAGCCAACGGTGGTGAACGTGACGGATGGCAAACTGCTTCATCTGCGGGATTTCCCTCCTGGTTTTGGCACACTTACTTTTGCAGAAACGCACGGGCGTGTATGCAACATTCTGGCGTGCGGCGGCACGGAGCGCCATGCGTCCACAGATCGATGCCATTGTTCGTTTTGCGAAAATTTCGGTCGGTCTTAAAAGTGAACACCAAAAATTCTTTCGTAATTTTTCACACACCGAGTTTTAAGGAAGTGTGACCAGCGGACCGCGGAACTATCGATAAATTTACCAAACGAAAAGTCTGGCATCGCTGGTGCGTTGCCAGACTCGCCCAACGTTGTCATCCCCCGCCAGAGAGCGCCACTTAGTTGCCGGGCAACGGAAACGGGGAAGACCAAAACAAACAATTAATTAAAAATAATATTTCAGCAGTCAGAAAAATGTCCAGCAAGCCGGTAATCTGTTTTGATACATCCAAAAATGAAAGATTTCAAATATCGGACAACTATAAAATGCTTCACCGCAAGCTAAAGGTCAACTGGAATGTGGAACAGTCAGTATGCCAATAAATAATTTCACAAGACTTGCTTGATTTGTAAATCCAATAAATCCAATGTAACCAATTTTTTATTATTAATTTATTATTTTAGAAACGCTGCTGAACTCAGAAAGGAGCGACTGGCCCGGGTGAAGGTCTTTGTGCTGGCAGGACCCCAGGACCGCTTCACGGAGGACGAATTCGAGGTGCTCAAACATTATGTGGAGGTGCAGGGCGGCAGTTTGCTGGTCCTCCTTGGCGAAGGCGGGGAGGCGGAGTTCAACACCAATGTGAACTTCTTTTTGGAGCAGTACGGGATTTTTATCAACGGGGATAACGTGGTGCGACCTCACTACTACAAGAACTTTCATCCCAAGGAGTGCATCGTTGGCGGGGGCGTAGTCTGCGAGTCCATGTGGCGGCATCTCCTCAAGATGGATATAGAGAAAGTGGACTACGACTTTAGCGACGAAAAGTACAAGATACATTTCCAATATCCGTACGGCGCCACGCTGAACGTCTCGGAGCCGGCCAATGTCCTTCTGACCACGGGCCCAGTTGTCTATCCCTTCAACCGTCCGTTGTGTGGTTACTATAGTAATGGAAAGGGTGGAAAGATCCTGGCACTGGGGTCAGGCTACATTTGGCACGATAAATATCTGCAGGACAAGACCAACGATGCCATATGGGAGTATATGCTGAGGCTGCTCGATGGAGACGAGATAAGTTCCAAGTACACCCACTTGGACTTTAACGATGTGGAGGTGGGTGAAGGGTCCTTAATTACAGTTGTACAATTATTCTAATTGATTTCTGACCTTCTATAGATCAGCGACAATAAGCACTTTACGGATCTGGCATTTCTGGCCGATATGCCCAAGGCCTGTCTGATCGACTCGATTGGTTCGGAGATGCCCACCGACTTTAAGCAGATGTTCGACATGAATCTGTGTGCGCTGAGCAACAATCTCCTGAAAGACGTCATCGACGCCTACGAGAAGCTGCATGTGAAGTACGAGCCGCTGAGGATCATCAAGCCGCAGTTCGAGATCCCACTACCAAATCTCCAGCTGGCCACATTTCCGCCGATCTTTAGTGAGCCACCCGCTCCGCCTCTAGAGCTATACGACCTCGATGAGACCTTCAGCGGCGCCCGATCCCAGCTGGCCCACATGACGGGCCAGTGCCTCCAAGCACTGCAGTCCAAGGAGCCACAGAGGAGAGCTCTGAACCAGCGGGAACTGGAGAACTACATAAAGGAGTGCGCCAGAATTACGGCCATTGTGGACGAGCGGCAGGACATGGCTGCCCGCGAGATTCTCAACATTGTGGCCCGCCAGATTGTTAGCTACAGGCCCTTTGCGGAGGACTAGGACGATCCAATTACCTGCAGAACGGCACATTCCGCGCTACCATTTTCCGGCCAATCAGCAGAATTTTGTGAATTCAAAAAATATATAAAATTGAAAACCTAGTCCGTTTTATGTAAACATGTTGGCGACTCGTATTCAAACATGGCCGGCAAGCCAGCGACTGAACGAACGCTCCTCCGTTCTCCGCCGGGCTCCCGAATTGGATTACACTAAAGACAATTTTTGGAGTGCAGAAACCCAAAACCTGTGGGAAGTAAAGCTATATAGTCTTGCTCTCCCTTCGCTTAGTACGAAAATTGTTTACTTAACACAATTAATTATTTGTATTAATATTTCCCCATATTTTCCCCGAGGGTCCCTCTTTCCCGCTTTCCCAAAGAGCCCCCGAGAAGTTGCTTTGTTTTTAGGTGTCAATAATTTGTTTCCGCCTTTTCGGAGGGGCCTGTGTCTCCCCTCGCCGCTAATTGGAACGGCAGGCGGGGGTAATAGGGAGCTCTTTTAGTGTGTGAAACCGCTAGTTAGTACTTGTCCCAACAAATGTTGTCATCAATCTGAGGTCTCTAGGGAGAAATCTCCGGGCGGAGCTAGAGAGTCCTGTAAAAAACTAGATACGCACAACTGACGGTTGTAAATTTCTTGGTTTAAAGAGATCTCAATTTTTTAAATGGAAACTAATTCTCTGGAGCTTCTATAGGAGAAGGACTCGTAAAAGAATAGTATCTTAGTAGAACTTGAATAAAAACTGTAGAAATGTTATTTATAAACATTATTATGACTTCAAAGGTTTTTTTTTTAATAAAAAAATCTACTCAAAAGTGTTTAATACTTGAGTGTAAAAAAGATTCTTCTTAAATTCTAGTGCAGCAGAAATCGATTCAACCGAAGGCCTCCTTCTCTGCTCTGATAACCGTTGCGACTCTCCCCGAGCACTGGTGTTCCATCAATCAATATTGATGGTTCCCACACCGCAACCCGAGTGCTCCATCGGCCCCTATCCATCCCCTCGGGTCTTGCGAGTTCGCCATTTTGTTTGCTATTTCTGTTTGGCTTTTTTCCTCTTGGACTGACCGCTAAATACAAGGTTGGACGGTTAAGCCGAGAAGGGGCTGGGGTTGCGGAGTTGGGGCGGGGTGCAATAATCTCTCGGGTCGGACTGAAATCGGACCCGAGGCAAGTAGGAAGTTACCTTGAGTGCATTTCTATATATTGACAGTGACAATGCCCGTCCAACTTGCAGTTCATTCATGGTTTCAGTTGGATTTTTTCTCTTCTTGTGTGTTTTTTTTTTTAATACAAACAGGTTCACAGGCTCACGGCACAGAAGCCGCACAAGTTTTTCCTGGGTGTCCATCCTCCTCCGCCTTCTGTCCCTCAGCCCTCAGCCATCTGGCTGCCAAGAGTGGCTTCATTAGCTGAATGAAAAACTATGTTATTCCGATTCTGTTTGCTTAACAAATCCAGCTGTATTTGCCGCACTTCCGTTCTCCCAGAGCCTCGTGCAAATATTCGGAAAAGTCCTGACTTTTCAAGTGCTTTGTTTGACTCTTCATCGGGACATCCCTTCTACGCGGCCAGCTGGGATTTTTATGAATCCCCGAACGTCGTCTAGCCGCCTTTATAAATTAGTTACTTTCCCGAAGTGGCCAACATTTGTCACCTGTGCGGTGTGAAGCTTGGGCCGCGGGG